CTCTCTCTTCCTGGATTTTCCCGCCTCTCTCGAGCATGCCTCTCGTTTCGTTTTCTCTCTCTCTGTACCGCCGCCGCCGTCGCCGCCGTCGCCGCCACCGCCGCCGCCGCCGCCGCCGCCGCCGCCGCGACACGGCACCTCCCCGTCTTCTTCTCCTTCTTCGTCCTCCTCGCGTCCTCGCCCGGGCGCGTTCCGCCTAGAACCGTTCTCTTCTTATCTCGCTCTACCTCAGCTTCCCTTCTCCGACGACCACGACGAGAACGACGGCGTCATCGTCGTCGTTGCCGCCGTCTATGCGCGTTCTCGCTCTCCTCACCCTCTTTCTCTACTTTTTACCCTGTCCTCTGCGCTCTTTCGTTATCCTTCCTTCCTTCCTCTTCTTCGGTGTCGATTCCGCCGGCGGAGCCTCCGACGCACGTCGACCACCGCCGAGGCGTCTCCTCTCTTCTCTTGTCTTCTCTCCTCCTCTCCCTCCTTCCTTCGTCTTATCGCTTGCTACCCTGACTATGCCTGCGTTACGAGGCGCGGCATACGGCGACCTGGAAGGAATCCCTACGTACCAACGGAGAACGGAGAGCCGGGATTGAGGCTGCGAGGAGCCGAGGAAGAAGAGAGGGGAGGTGGGCTCAGGACCATGAGCAGGAGCGCTTCCTCAGATATTAGATTTTACAAGGAGCGTGCTGGGATTTTAGAGGGGTCACGACGGGGTGGATGGACGCGACGGCGTGGTGTGGTGTGGTGCGGTGGTGCGCGGAGGTGGTGGAGGAGAGCCTGCTTGCTGCTGGGTCCGGGACGCGCACTCCTCCGTCCGCCCCCTCCTTGCTTGCTACGGCAGGGGTGGGATAAATATTAATTGCGTTTCTAAGGGCCGCCTGCGGCTACGTGCCGGTTATACTTCCTCGCGCTGTACCACTCCGGTCTTACGTCTCCGGGAATTTGCGGGCATGTCTTCACGACTTGCTTTCTTATTGATCGTCGGTACGGCTGGTCCGCACTGGCTGTTTCTACTTGGGTCGCGCGCGCGCGAGCGCGCTCTCCTTGGATTCTCCGTCGGCTTCTCCGACGGGGATGGTTCGGTCTTTCGTCTCGGTTTCCCTTGCCTTCCGTCCTTTCGCACAGCGAGGGTCTCCGATCGCTCGCCATCTCTTCTCGCTTTTGGCCGTCGCGTGTGGAGAAAAAGCGAGAAAACGTTCGCAGCTATCTGTCGTCGTTCAGTCGTCGAGCGAGTCGAGCGCGACTCTGTCTGTCGGAATCTGAGGCGCCGCTTTAATTGGGAAATTTTTTAATTTGTTCGCTGAATAGACGACGCTGTTTGCTGCGGCGAGTCCCGCGGTTGCGAGTCCCGCGGTTGAATCGCAGCCCCAGACAAAGTTTTATTAAATATCGCACGAGCGCGCGAGGAGGTGTCGACGTGGGGTGGGGCGGGGGGTGGGGGGGGAGGAGGGGGGAAAAAAAGGCACACCTCGTCGACGGGACGTCGCATTCGCGGCGCGACACGCCACTATCTCTCCCCGCGTTAAATTGATTCGCATTATTAAAAGCAACTGTGAATTGGCCGTGAAAGTTTTTCAATTTCCCCGGCGCACTGTCTCCGCCGGTAAATTGCACTGATAAATTGCACAATACCGCGGTTCGGAGAAAATCGCATTCAAAACTACGCGTGTCCGGGTGTCTAGACGCGTCGCGCGGTGCGCGTCGCGCGGATTAGTTTGCATTGTATTTCCACTTAGAGACGCAATATAAGCGACTCCGAGACGCGCTGTGAAAGCGCACTCTTATCCCCGTCACGGGGAAATTCGCACGATGATCATTCTCGAACAATTATCGCTCGATTGTACGCAGGTACGTTCGAGTACCATCTCTTAAGATTGTCCCCGCGAATCGATGACGCCACGTTCTCCAGTGCCGTTATTTCCTTCATGTCCCCTCAAGTCTCCGTACGGAGGGATAAAATTTTCGGCGAACAGCCTTCTCGTTACTCGCCCGTCGGGCGAGAAGCAACTCTCGCGCATGACGTAATTTCGCTGCCGCCCGGGTTCGCAATTTATCATCGATGCGAATTTTCGAGCTTCCCGTGCGATTCTTTTGCCCGTGTCGAGCGCCTGTCCGGGCGTTAAACTGACCGCAACTCGCCAGCGGCGTTTGAAGAAGGGTCAATTTATCGAATTTGCGGGGTAATTATGTGGGGTTGCAAGCGACGCGGCCCCGATCGCGTGTGTGATCTCGTGGGCCACCCGTGGCCGTTGATCATGGTCGATTATCCACGGAGTCGTCGGTCGCTCCCCGGGTAACGAACCAGATCATGTCGACTCGCTGGAAACAGCCTTCGGGGGCGAAGGATCAGGGGTGGCTGGTTCGAAACCTGGCTGAGGTAGGCGGTGCTGCCGCGCGGTGGCGATATCGATAACTAAGCCTCCCTAAGCAACCCCTTTGCAATTTGGCACTTCGATTAGCCAAATCGTCCTGTCGCGCGTGTCGATCGGTTACGCCGCAAAAATCTTCCGCGGCGATTCCTTCTCGCACGAAGGATCTTGCAAAATTAACGAAACGAAACGGAATGAAGAGAGACGCGAGCGCTCGTCCTTAACGCGACCCTCCGTAATTAACATAACGATTCGGTGCTGTGTCTTATTTGCATTTTGATCTCGCGAACGTTGTCCGTTGCAAACGTTGTCCAGGGAGTCGCCCGAGCAAAATTTTGCGACAGGGCGGAGGGAGGACGGCTAACGTCCGTCGGTTTCGTTGGCAGACGAAAATTCCAGCCCATTCGGTGATTATATTCTCTCGAAATTCTTCCCAGTAAAATTCCGCAAAGGGGCGCTGGAGTGGACAATCGGGATATAGAGTCCCGCAAACTCACACCGGGAGTGAGTTCCGTTGCGAGGCATCGAGCGAATATTTTCATTCGAAAGTGAAGAGCGAGTCTGAGGTACTCCGCTGTCATTCGAACGGTCCGATTGATTTATTCTAATTCACCGAAATATTCACACTCGCACGAATGTATCTCTACAATCTGTACAATCTATAAGCAACATTCAGCCTGCGGACATTGAATTAATCGTACACACTTTTGCGAAATGCTGATCCAGATCGAAGTGGCGATATTTTTTCACATTTTCGACTCTGAGTGAATTTTCATTCGTCGCGCGAGCGACATTTTGATTCGCGAGATAATATCGAGAATAACAAAAAAGCTTCGAAGCTTCTTCTTCACGTGTATTACCGGACGGACTCCAAAAGAAAAGAGAAATTCGTCGAGAAGCACGCGGGAAGCATTCCGCATTAGCACCGTCGCGAGAACGTCGACTCGACTGCGAAGTGCCGTGTCCCGCGAGACATCAGGCAGGATCGATCAGTCGGCATCGCTCGATCGTCGCTAGATCGTCAACGTATCCTCGTGATAGCACGTTAGATCGCCGATGGAGGTCGGTCATTAGCCGCAAATGACGTACTTAGGTGGCCGGCGATCGCTCCGGCCGGCGTGATTTGATCGGATACGGGAATCCCTCGGACAATGATTCCGGCTGAAGAGAGAGAGAGAGAGAGAGAGAGAGCGAGAGAGAGAGAGGGGGTGGTGGAGGCAGGGGAGAAGGGAAGGAGAAGGAGAGCTGCGAGACCACGCGAGCGGCGACGGGGGTTCACGGCCCCTTCTTCGTTCGCCCTATTGATTTTCCATTCGGAACAGCTTCGGCACTCGAGGCGCCAAACGTCGGCGTGAGCTGCCCGACGACCGATTGACCGACATTCGATTGCCAATCGACGCGCACCGGTCGATCCGCCGCCGGTGACAATGATTGAGACACCTGCGTGACTCGTTCGCGGCTTTGAATTCGATCGATCCGCCGCGCGCCGTGCGATCGCCGCGCTGCTCGCGCTGATTACGCGTTTCCGTCGCTCGGTCGAGAATCGCTCGGTCGACGTGGGAACGACGAGAAAGAGAGAAAGAGAGAAAGGGAGCGTGTATGTGTGTACGTGCGGCGTGTGTTTGCACGTAATTTTCCGAAATCAAGAGACTGTAATCGCGAGAGGACGCGTGTTATCGCAAACGCAATACGCGAATTTCGTGCAAACCGTTCCTCGCGATTATAGATTAGAAATCGATTATTTATTAGCACGAGACTGCGTGTTATACCTTTTTTGTCCAATGTCGTCCAATCGCGCTGACGCGCATTAACAACGAAACGTACGAGGGTACGAATAAAAACTACGTATTCCGCGTATTCGTCGCGATTGGCGCGCACGCCTCGCGCTCGAAAAGATCGCGCGTCTGCGTGAGAGCCGATGATCATAATTAGCGGAGTAATCTACGATCGAGGTAGTTGGCGGTGGATTCCGGCGGTAATTAGTCGTACTGTTTGATTTGGACGACGGCGGAAGATTCGCGCGGCTCTGATTGGATGAAGCCGGCGTGTAGGTTCGTCTTCACTTTCGAAAGGAAAGAACAGCCCGGGGCCTCTCGCTCCGGGAAATGACGAGAGACGAGATGAGACAAGACGGGACCCGCGAGTTAGGAACGACGAAGTCGTTGAGTTCGGATGAGATGAGACGGGATGTGGGAGAAGAGACGACGAGATGAGATGAGAAACAGCAATGTCGCAATGAGATATTGCTAGTATGCGAAGGTGCACAAAGCTACCCCGGGATCTGTCTCCTCGTCTTGTAATAACACCATGCATAAGTTCATCAGAGAACGACTCTCGCGGCGATGGTAATTAGCTTAAAAAAAAGATAACGCCGCTGCGTCGCTGCGACGCTGCGAGCAGATGCAGATTGCGCGGCGGCGGCAAGGCGCGCGCGGTGCGTTATTTGCGAAATTTGCAGTAATTGATAAAGGCGTTTCTGCAAATTTCTCGTCTTATCCCGCGGGGACAGGTCGAGGTATACATATATATATATATTTATATATATATTGTTTAGATAATCTTAAGGGGCTACATGTGATAATTGACGATATACAAGGAAAGGTAGGACGCTCACACAGGAACTGTATTTTTGCAGCATAATTTTCTTTTTATTTCGGAAACTCTGGACTTCGTCGTACACATTAATCGTTTCCGCTCCTTATTATTAGAATCACGTAGATTTCAGCGTAAATACAACGAACCTACTCAGATATACACACATGTCTCTGTAATTGTATTTTCGTGTTCATTTTCAGCTATTCTCCGCTTCTCCGCCGAGATATATTCTTCCTCCGCCGGGGGATTCCCGGCTGGTACACGCGTTCCTTCGTTATAATTATCGTGCTATCGCGATAGCACGGCAGCGTTATCGACGAGACTCGTGCGTCGCGCAGTTTTTTCATCCACTGATACATTCGCGTGCCCGGGGCGGATTTTCCACGGGGTTTCCATGAAGATAGGGAAGAGGGTGGAAAAGCAAAAGGAAAGGAAGGTGCCCACACGGAGCTGGGGGGGGTGGCACGGGGTGCAAGATGTAAGACGGAGGAGGCGTGGCTTCGGCATTGATCCAGAACCCCCACTCTCGTGCTTAAAAGTACGGCCCTGGTTGCTCCGCTCTGTGCTCTCACCCCCGTCGACCTCCTGTAAGAAACCGGCAAGAAATGAATATTCATGAACCATCAGCTTTACCTCCCCTACCTTCTTGATTCGGTCACCGATGTCGACGAAAAAATATCCACACGCATACGTTGGCTCTGACACGTAACTGTAGTCGTCTCTCTCTCTCTCTCTCTCTCTCTCTCTCCCACTCTCTCTCTTCCCCTCTCCCCTCTTTCTCTCTGAAGTGATATCAGATATTACAATTCTGCGCGTTGAAACGTTTGAAACGCGAAATTTCCGCTGTTCTCCATCATGATTATTACACGAACTTAAAACCTTCGGTTTGCGCAGGAGATTTCCGTTCCACCGGTGATGTTGCTCAAACAGATTTATCTCGTAAATGATATATTTAGACAGGCAGGCGCGCTTGTGTTACGTAATAATCACGGGGGGAGGGGGGAGGGGGGGAGGTGATCGTCAAAGCGGCGCGGCGGTTCATCGGGCGGCGGATCAACATTTCGAGTTCTTGCGAGACGCGACGGTCGAAAAGCCATCAAGATTGCAAATTTGCCGGGTCATTACGACCTTCTGGGAAATTCACTTCAAACGCTCATCAATAAATGTTTACCTTGAATTAGTAATTTTAATCGCTCCGGGACGCCGAAATCGCACAAGTAAATCCTCCTAATGCTCTCGCCGCGCGCTTGAATCAATTGTGGTAACTCTATTTCTACTTACTGTCGCAGGATATTGCCTTATCTAATTGCTAGCGATACGCAAGCGAGGGGAAAGTGCCGGCGGTCGTAACCGGTGAGAATTGATCGCCGATCTCGGCGTCGACGGAGCACGTTGACGGAACGCCGCGAAACGCCTGAAACTCGGTGTCTCGAGTCGTCATCAGGCCGCCGCTTTCGCTTTGTCGGGCAAGCGCTCCTGCGAATACGCACTAAGCAACGCTTAGGAGACGCTGGGACGCATGAGGAAGAAATAACTCGATTCGAGAGAGATGCCGAGAGAGGAGAATATACCGTTTCGTTGCTCGATTAGAAAAAAATGCAACGGTGCACACATTCGTCGGTGAAATGTCGTCGCGGCTATTCGCCGCGACGCGCACGAAGCTCGCGGAACGTACGGTTGCATAAATCGCATACAGGTGCTCGCGCACGGGGACAATAGGGCGAGGGCGTATCGCATGAATATTTCATCGCCGGCCAGCGACCCGATATAAATAATCCGAAACTTACGGGAAGTCTCGGAAATCCCGAAAGTCCCGCCGTCCGCTGAAGATCCGCCGAAGCTCACGGAAACGGCGGCCCGATCGAGCCCGATCGGGGCGCTCTCGATCGTCGCGCGCGTGTTGGACCCGGCGCTCGCGATTGCCTCGTACCGTATCCGGTGCGATGCAACGATATCCAACATTTTCTCCGATTGCGCGCGTCCGCACGGCTACATCTGAGACTCGCGAGGGACGCCAAGGGGTTGGGCGCTACGTTGGCGGATTGGTTGCCGGCTACGACGTTTCCCAGAGTACACCGGGAGTTTGTTCTAACTTGCAGTCGGTGGCAGTTCTCCTCAAACAGGCTAGATTATGTTCCACATCTCTCCGTTTTCGTTCTCCCCCCGTCGCGTTGACTCGCTCGCTCGCTCGCTCGCTCGCTCGGGCGCGCGAATCGCGCGGATTCGCGACTGCAGTCGCGTTTGTTTGATCTAACTTCGCGCTCGCTCGCTAGCCTGTCCGCTTCAATCTCGCTGATTGTAAAAGAAACGCCGGCAGTCTGGAGGGGCAAATGGAGAAGGAGAGAGAAAGAGAGAGAGAGAGAGAGAGAGAGAGAGAGAGAGAGAGAGAGAGAGAGAGAGAGATTGCCAGCGAGACGACGAACACGTCGACTCGACGGAGTTTCTGGTCTTAGCGAAGAGCCAGGATCGTCTTCGTCGGCGCGGCCGAGGGTTTCACGTTGAACGAGCCGCGCCGTGGCTCACGTTGCCGATCGAGATAAATCGATCGACCTTTGCCGCTGCGTCTCTTAATAATGCACCTATGTCTACGGCTTCTCGCTGTAATGCCGCGTGGCGCGTCGCTCCAATATTCGGTAGGAGGAAAGAGAAACGATCGTACAGAGAAACTCATCGAATTATGGGATTGTCGGAGGTACGAAGGCGAAGAAATGCTAATTCGGGATGCGTGATAGTTCTTGTCAGCTTTATTGTGGTTTATTGCGGCCTCATCAGTTATTTGTAATCTTATCGGTTGCATTCAACAGCTCCGGCCGCATGTTGGCCGAATGTCCAACTCTTTGAGAAGCAATTAATTACAGCCAACTGGAGGAATCGCCGGTGACTACCAGGCGTTAAACATCAAACACTCAAGCGCGGTATTCAAATGTGCGGAGTGTCGTGACACCTCTCTCTCGACATTTCATTCCCTGCCTTTACTTCGCGAATTGATAGCGAGTTGGTAAACAAACAAGGCCGCGGAGACTTTTATACGCATTCCTTCGCGGTTTTCCGTTCACGTGGGCGACCTCGTCTTAAATTGTAGAACGATACGCGTCGCATTAAACCCGAAATGGTCCGGGCTCTGATTTACGAAGCTGTTAACGTGTCCGATAAAATACAGCCTTCGGTTTTACTGCGCCCATTCGGTGCCATTTTGGAGAGCGTGGATTTCTCTCGGCGAGTAACACTTCTCCCCGTTACTCTTACTTACCCACTACGTCTTCCGCCGCGTCTCGGCGCGAGTAATTTCGATTGGCCCGCAAGCTCTCAAGCACACCCCCGCGTTCGCGATTTATCCGTCCGAGTTGCAATCGCTTTTCTTCCGTTCTTTTCTTTTCGTTTTCTCTTCCTTTTCTCGATCCCAGCGGTGATTCTGAAACAAAGATTCTGAAACGCGAATCGAGTTTTAGTCCTCTCTCTCTCTCTCTCTCTCTCAATTCGTTCTCATCACACTGCCGATCCTGTCCTTCTCTGTCTCGAGCGGAGAACCGTCCGAGTTACAATCCCACGTGCGGCCATGAGTTTTCGCGCGTGATTTAAAGTGGCTCGCGCGACGTTCTTGTCACCTTTGCCAAGGCAGGTAGAACGGCCTTTTTCGGCCTCGGTCGTTCCTTCCCCCGAGGATCGCGGCTCATAGACCGAGGGTGTCACGATCCTTTAAAATATTTAGAGTAGCTAGTCCAGGGAAGAGCGGGGTGGTGGCAAGCGCAGGAGAGACTCATCCAAGTTGGCAACTTTCGGTCGTATTAGCTTTTGTATATATATTACCTCATTTGCGAGAGGAAAGCTTATACTTCTACCCCCTGTAGACACTGTATAGATATACCCGTGCACTCTCACCTACCGCCACCTCGCCTCCCTCTACAATATACTCGTGCACGTGCTTCGGCTATATTCCGCCGTCAGTGTGACACGTCAGTCGTCGCACCACTTCGCGCGAACGAATAGTCTGCCAAAAAGTTGCCGTAATCTCGACGGGCTATATACATGAGCGCGACGGTGATCCGCGCGCGGCGCGAGAGGGGATAAGTGTGAGTGTCAGACGCGAAGAAAAGCGCGACATTACGGCTGTTGAAATTAATTTGACGCGCTCATTACGCACTTCGGCCTGCAGCCAATGAGCGCGTTGGAAAAAATGCGAGTTTTGTCATGCGACGGAAAAATCGCGACGGGAAAAGGGTTTCCAGCGAGATGGCTAGAGTGAGAGAGAGAGAGAGAGAGAGAGAGAGAGAGAGAGAGAGAGAGAGCACATGACGCGTTTGTCTCGATTATTATCATTTCCCGAACCGACATCATCCCCTCGGCACCATCGTGGAGAGACTCTCGCGAGAGACGAGCGCGCGGAGTCGCGACGCGAAAGAACAGATTCGCGAGCACGGAATATCGTGCGAGGCGCGACGATGCAGGTGCACCCTTGACGGTGGGAAAACAGACATTTAACCTAAAATAACACACGGACAATGAATACAAAACATACGTCAACAGGAGTCGCAACCTCCCCCCACTTCCGACGCCGGTAGTCGTCATAGTTGTCGTCGTCGTCGTCGTCGTCGTCGGCGTCGTCGTCTTCATCGTCGTCGTCGGCATCGTCGTCGTCGTCGTCGTCGTCGTCGTCGTTGTTGCTATCATCATCGTCTTCGTCGTTATTGTTGTCGTCATCATCGTCGATATATCGTACCGGCAGCTGTTCCGACTCCAATTCGCGCTCGGCGAGTGACGTTCGGGTGATCCGGACGTAAAAATAGAGGATAGGAGAACGGAAAGCACGATGTAGAAAGGAAACGACAACGTCGACGATGACGAGGTGTGAGAGAGATAGAGAAAGGACGGAAGCAGAGGAGGAAGGCGGCAAGAGCGCGCGAGAGCATCGGCGGCGCATCGCCTTCGAGCAAGTATCGCCCGGCTGTCAGATGGTAGGTAGGGTTGGCGGAGAAGGAAGGTACCTACGTGCGGAGGTTAGGTCGGAATATAGTTTAAGCTAGACGAATGGGCTGGTGGGTGGTTCTGGAGGCAGAAGAGTGAGCCGAGGCGGGTAGTTTTGCCTGGGTACCGCCGCACCACCGCCACCCCTTCGCCCACCCGCCGCTCTCCCGGCCCCCGCCAGCCCTCTGGAGGCACCCCCGGTTACTACTCCACCACCTTCTCCACCTCCTCGACGACGCCATACCCTCGTTCATAATATCCTGCACGTCAGACTTTGAAAACTCCAACAATTTCCTCCTGCCGCCTGGTTGGAGAGCGAAGAGGGGACGGGAACGGGGAGGAAGGGGATGGCCGGGGCTCAGGGGGTTGGTTCTACCCACCGCGTGGAGATGGTTCCAGGTTGCTGATGCTGGTGCCGCTCTCTTCGCGGTGTACTGGTAGTGGTGATGGTAGTAGTATTAGTAGTAGTAGTAGTAGTAGTACCAGTAGTAGTAGTAGTAGTAGTAGTAGTAGTAGTAGTAGCGATAGCAGCAGCAGCAGCAGCAGCAGCAGCAGCGTCGGTGGTAGTGAAGGTGGCGGTGGTGGTGGCGAACCGACGGTGCGAGGGAGACGAGTTTCGAGTTTATATAAAGTTCGGGCCACATCAATAATTATAAGTAGAGAGCCGAGGCAAGATGGCGCGCCCGACTGGCAAACCCCATCCCCTCGCATGCCAACCGAGTCATTATTCAAGGCATCCTTACTTCCACCCGTCTGCCCATCCGATTGATCCTTGGTGTCGTCTTGGGGGACGATCAAGGCTTCTGCAAAGAAAAGCGGAAGGTCGTCGCGTCGTGCCGTAATTCTCTCTACCTCTCCTTCTCTCTCTCTCTCTTCCTCTCTCTCACTCCTCTCGCCTCGTATATTTCGAATCATCTCGCGTTCATTTTTCTACGACAGTATCGAACGTTGATCGTTTAAACGCCGATTGACAGACTCATAAGAAAGAAAGAATCTTGAGATGTAAAATGGCGGAAAGATCGCAACATTTTTGCGCAACTTGACTTGAGTTTATGAACGATATCCAATACGAGAATTTATTCTTTACTTTTTTACAAAAGGGTAAATTTTCTTCTAAATATTATTAAATACACAAGACTACATGGCAAAACTCGTCAAACACAACGTGTTGGAACTTTGTTGATTGATCTTACGAAATCTACAATTTCACTCGAGCCAATTTTCCGCTCGCTGAAGTGAATCGATACATAATCTCTTTTCTATCAAAGAGAAACTCAATTCCTTGTGCTTTCACAATCCACTTTTTTTTTTAACATTTCTGTTTTACCCTTCCCTTCCGTCTCGGAAAGTATGTGAATATCGCGGGCAACACATATCGCGCGATCGACAGTCGGGCGAGTGCGATTCTTAATTAACGCTCTTGCGGAAGCAATACTTCGACGGAAGAGTGCCGCGTCTTTCGCGGATGTAACGGAGAGTAGTGGGGATTATTAAGGGAGCGGGCGAGGAGGGAAAACACCGAGAGAGAAAGGCCGAGAGAGGCGATCGGTCGGTTTCCGGCAAAGATGACGGTTGATTAATGTTGAGGGTAAGTTTCTTACTCACACCCGTCCTCCCTTGGCCGAGTGGTCGGCTGCAGCCGAAGGCGGGCGGCGCCTTAGATAAAGCGTCCGAGTAATATCGCGCGAAGCGCGGGTCAGCCGCGGCTGCCGATTTTCGCATTCTTCGTCGGCTGTTGACTTTGTTGAGCGCCGCGCACGGTTTGTACAAAGTTAACGGCATTAGGAAATTTACATTTTAACGACGTCCGCGAGAGATAATCGTGAGGACAACGGGACCCTGCCGATTCCGCGCGGCGACGGTCGAATTAGCAGATTGCTTAGACTCGCCGGCGCGTCCTGCGCGTCGCTAATTGGAAAAGCCTCCGAGCCGGGCGGACGGGCGATGTTGTAAAAACGTCTGCGCGCGTTTGCGAGCGTTAAACACGCGGTCGTCGGGATATCGGGATCATCCCGGCAAATATTGTACTTTCGCCAACTGTGCGCGCCGCGCCGCGCCGTGCCGCGCCGGGGCGAACGGCCGCGCTTGCGAATGTTAGTTTCGTTTGCGAGCGCGCGCACGGAAGCGACATTTTTCAGCCGCGAGAATCGCTTTCCTCTTGATGGTCACCGGTAGCCGGGTCGCGTGGGGCCGGAGGGGGGGGCGGTCTACGGCGAGACTTCGATACGTATACACATGTACACAAAGATCGCACACGAATGTACGAACGCAACGACGACGACGACGACGACGACGACACACGTCCGGCCGGTGCACATGCACGTGCGCGCGGACGAGAGGGAGAGGGAGAGAGAGAGGGAGAAAGAGAGAGAGAGAGAGAGAGAGAGTACTTGGCGTGGGATCGGTTCGAATCTGTCCCTAACGTAGTTTCCAGTTGAAACGCAGATCTGGTGTTGCCCTAACTCGGCCGGGGAAACTCAGAAATCTAATGCCAGGAGGACACACGGGCCGTACCAGCCCCGACGTTAACTTTTAATGCACGGGATTAGTGCCGCGGGTGCACGCGGGGACCCCGGCCAAACTTTACGCTAATTTGTTCGTCTATTAATCTGGCACTTCCTAGCCGCGCACACGCACCGGCAGGAAAGAAGCGGCCGGAAAGAGACCGAAGGACGCTCGCGAAGAAAGTCGCTTCGGGATCGTTGAATCGCCGAACGAGCGACGAGATTTTTCCGAGGCGTCGCCGACGTTCCCTCGCGATCGCGCTGGGACGACGATCCGGGTCGAACGCGGAATGTCGCATGACAAGACGGATCTTCACTTACTCGCTTTATTGCGATTATTGCTGCGGGTTTCCCGGAGTGACATATTCGACGCGCGGGTAACGGTGGAATTTTCAAAATATTTCGCGGGGAACTTTTCACGACACGACCTCATCGTCCGGTGTTGGACGTACGGTAATGAACGGCTTGAACGCGACGCACACGAAGAGAATTATCTCTCGGCCGGACTAAATTGAAGTCGAAGTCAATTAAAGCGCGACGCGTGTTTTTCACCTCGCGGAATAAAGAGCGGTAATTGCTAGAGGCGAAACGTTTCAATGCGGACGAGAGAATCTGGGTCGCGCGGCAGCCGCTCGGCGAGATTTCGCGCCAAAGCAGGAAGAGCTCTGGGCCAAAGGGGAGTAAACGAGAAGTGTAAAAAGAAAAATGTCGAGAGAGAGAGAGAGAGAGAGAGAGACAGACAGAGAGAGAGAGAGAGAGAGAGAGAGAGAGAGAGAGTAACTCGGCGCGGGCGGCATGAGGAGGGGATGGGAGCGAAAGAAGGGAGGAAGAGGCCGCGCGCGCTCAATTTACCGGTCGTGGAAAAAAGGAACGCGGGAAAAGACGGGAAACAGCTTAACGGGGTTAAAACCACCCCTACGGGGTCTCGGCGGTAGGAGGTAAAAAAGCTAAGCGGCGTTTTATAGACCCAACAAGCGGCCGGCGTATACCTACACGGGTGCCAACCCCGTTTTTACACCCTCGTTGGAAATTAGAGGCTTTTTGTGCTAAATATACCCCCGTCCCTCGGTTTCGCTCACTCCCTCTCTCTCTCTCTCTCTCTCTCTCTCTCTCTCTCTTTCTCTGCGTTTCCCTCTCCGTCTTTCCCGCCCTCGCACAGACGCAGCGCACCGCCAGTGAATCTCATATTAATTTTAACTCCACACGAGCCTGACCGCGCGCGCCGCGAATTACTCGCCTGCAATCTTTTTAATCTTTCTATTACGCGAAAGATACACAAGAGGGCGGATTCGGAATGCATTCCTCTCGCGGTGGAGTCGTTTCGCCGGCTAATGTGATTCTTGGACTTAACTGCAACGGGAATTTTCAGAGAGCAGTTGAAATTTAATATTCCTCCGCCGCGCGCGTATGATATACGGGATTATACGATAAATCTCGCATTAAATTTTAATGGACTTCTCCACAATGCGAGCCTTTTCAACAATGACCCTCCTTGCCGCTCGCCGGTGGTCGATGGAATCCTCGGTCGCAGATTATTTCTCCAATTGATGCTTATCTCGCGCCGAGCGCGCCCGCGATGTTGCGCAATCTTGCGAAATTTCCGCGGCGGACATTTTTCTTTTCGCGTTTCGCGGGATTTCGAGGCGCGATCAATCTCAACCGACGCGCGCTCGGTCCCCCTCGTTGCGTCGCGAAACTCGTTCCGTGCGATTTATCCGGAAGTCGCGCGAGAGCGCACGTTTGACAAATCGCCGGCCAGAAGCACCACCGGCACCAGGTAGCGCGGGCGCGCGGGATTTGAGAGTCTTCACCGCGGTCTAAGTGAAAATAAAACGCTCGACCAACCGGCCAAGAGGGTGTGAAACGAGGGTGGCATTTCTCTCACATAAATCAGCCGGCGGGGCCAAAATGCAAAACATCCGTTCAGGCCGCAGTTCAACACGGGCGAGATTGGTCACGTTGCGGCTTTGTCTCTCCTGATTCGCCCGCAGGTGGCTCCGCACCGCTCTTGATCTTCGGCCTGATGCGATTGTGCACGACCTGAGGACGGGGGCGAGGGGGGAGGGGGGGAGCGGGGGAGGGACAAGTAGCCCGTTCGAAATAAAAGGTACTCTCGTGCCGTCATGTTTTCGTGCTCGGGTA